ATTAGTTTAGTGTGGCAAAAGAAAATTCATATTTGCGCCCAACTTATGGGTTCAGAAGAATTATTTATTGCAATCTTTTGTGAGTGTAGAAATTTCTAATCGACATACGGGTGCCAACTACTTTTCAAGTAGTAAAATAAACATTTCTAACTAGCCAATCTGGAATAGAAGCTTTAACTTGATGATCACGCCAGAAAACAGAATTCTTACTGATGAGCCATTGAATAACCTGGATTAAATGCAAAATCATAGCTCACAGAACTTGCCGAAACTGCACCCGCAGAACTTCGACACGCCTCTTACGACATCACTCGGGCTCCGCCCCGACGTAGATCCTCAGGATTCAACGTCTTGGTTTCCGGACTCCCGAAGAGACGATCCATCTTTTCTGACGACTTGTAACAGACCTTTTTGAAGTGTTACGGATATCTCTTTCCTTTATATATATATATATATATATATATATATATATATATATAGATATATATATATAATATATATATATATAAAAAGTGGCCGAAACGTATTGTTTGAATGGAATTGAAATTGCCACCTCAGGGCAAGGAAGAAATAATTCCTATATGAAAGTCTGCCTTACACAGTCACTTTATTGGCCAGAAAAACTTGTGGTTAAATTATGTACAATCTGTATTAGGGATAGAGTAAACCGGGCTTTATAATCAAATGATAAAATGGACGTAGCAAGTAAATTTCGGTAGAGTATAAACAAACTGTGGTTACCAAAATGTAAACATTACAAGAAAAGTAACGATTTAAAATGTAAACAACACTCGGGAACAACTGTAAGCTACTCTCTTACACTCTTTTTAATATTAACTTATTGAACATGTCCCTTTGTTATAATAAACTCTAACACAAGATATACTACAATTTTAATTTAAATGAGAGCAAGTTGAAGACTAAGAGAAAAACATACCTTTCTGGGTTTGCAAGCACTTTACTTGCGCTATATAGACATCAGTTGACAATTTGATAACAATATTAAATAATCTCCTTGGTGGTAAAACAAAAATCATATCTTTGAAATAAATAAATTCCGCCACATTGTATATAAGATTATTCTGGAATATATTATTACGAAAGAAGGGGCCTCGACTTTCGTTTACAACTTATAGTTTAATTTTAATTTCTTGCCGGACAATTACTTATTTTTTATTGCTTAAAGCCAACTCAAAACACCATTTCGACTTGAACAACATTGTACACACAATCTTGTTTTAAACTGAAAATTATTTTATTCATGTGATTTTTAGAGAGCGATTCCACATATTAAATTTCTTGAGGGCTCACCGAAACTTTAAAGCAAAAGAAATTAACGTGCATAATTCCTGGGTAGAAGCCGCTCGGCGAACACCAGTCAAGAGTGAGTGAAGATATTTGGGTGGCTCTTTAACAGCTAGGTCTTAAGAGCTGATGAGGGTGATTGAAGTGAAGATGGAGCGGCGACGGAATGAAGGGGCGGGGGAAACGGGAGATCCCCGAATAACCCGACGACCAACGGAATCGTCCGGCCAGATTCCCACTTGCGAAAATCCGGCGATCCGGCCGGGGAATGTACCCGTTCCGCCTTGGTGGGAGGCGATCGTGCTAACCGCTCAGCCACCGTGGCCCCCACCAATCAAGAGGTTTACATCATTCTTTGGCCCACGATTTCAATGGCCATGTTCACGTCCGGCACGCTTCAACCTCCCTACACTATCAAATAAATAAGGACTGTCATAAAAGACTGCCCGCGAAAATTTATCATTTCCCGTCAATCAACTGAACCAAATAATAATATTACTCACCTCTAGGCGGTACATAACCACAACAAAAGTGTATTACTTGGGAGTTATCAAAAAGGCAAGATGACTACATGTTTTGTCTCGAAGAAGGAAAAAAGACGGGCTCAGCACCAAAGAGTACAGTGGAAGACTCTCCAAAGAGCACATCATAAAAGTTACAAACTCTTAACCAAATCACACACACGCTGCGATTTATGTTGTTACTTTATAAAACTAAAATATTTTCTTTATCCTTCTCTTTACAAAATATTACAATAACATTTTAGAATTTAAGACAGTTATTGCATCACGCAAAATACATATACCTATTTATTTGTGTGCGCATGCCCATAGTAATGTTTTGAACACAAATTATAGAGAACTTAAATGACAAACACTGGAAACAATACATAAATATTTTGATAGTCACAAAAATGTTTTTTTGACTTGGTAATTTTTATATACAGAAACGTCAGTTAAAAAAAAAATATCTAAATAATGAATTCCTTATTTCTTGCTTTCAGCATCTCAAACCAATAGTTAATTAATAACTCAGAATTTAGGAGGGCGAACTAATAAGCGGCGATTTGCCACAAAAATACCTTACTCAAACTTCAAAGTAAATTACAAAACTTATTAATAGATGCGTGCCGGCCAAACGGCACAACACACGCTTGAATAAACAAACCCTCCGTGTTGAGCAAAAAAAATTTCGACACAAAATCAACTGGCTATATTTGCTTGGCCATTCATTTGATTGCCTTAGTTCGAAAATACAGCTCGAGAATTTGTTTGTAATATTTTGTGACAAGTGCTATAATAAGAGTGTTTGTTACTGCCTTATTGGGGCTTAATATTGGTATAAAGATCCCAATAAAACAAGTTCAATAGGAAACTAAAAAGTGAAGCTGTAAAACATGTACTATTCATTTACTTTCGTTGTCCAGTATTCGTTAAATATACTGTTACAGTACGCCTGAGGGGCATATCCGAGTTCGTGAGGGATGGAGGTTTTAATAATACAAGAATTAAATTTGATTTAAATATATTCTCACAGTTATTATTTACAGTATTAATCTAACTATCTCCACTATTACCTTTCCTGTGCTACTTCGTACGCATGGCATTTAGGATTTGGAATCGCTCTTGGGAAGGAAAGGGGTACATAGACAAAAAAGAAAGGAGAAGTTACGGAACTTTTTTAACAATGCTTTTTTATGCAGTAATCCTAAGAACTTAATCCAGTACATATGTACATCCCTGATCACACATATATATGTGTGTGTGCGTGCGTGTGCGTGCGTGCGTATGCCGTCACACCTTTCACTGCGCCGATGCTCGCAGTCGCAGATCTTCCTATCGCGGGTCACTTCCGTCGCCCTTCGTTGCTCTTCTCGCTCAGCTTTTAGGGGTCGCGCAGTCTCCCAAACTCCCGGCTTGGAGGCCCGTCGTACTTGTACATCAGTTGCCCTGAGCATCTGGAAGGTTCAACTCACTCTGAGTCACGCTTGAGAGAAACAAGGTCAGTAAACCAGACAATTCTTCAGAGAAATGCAGAAATTCTATCCGCTGAAGGCCAGGGGCGCGCGAGCCGCCAAAGGGTTATTGCGGCAGAATGTCTTCATAATAGAGATGGGGAGTGTTTTCGATACCTGTTATCAACAACAGGTATTGGGCGAGAACAGTCGATACCTGTTCCTAGTTTCTGGAGATACCTGTTACCATCCCTGCCTGTTACTGAAGCAGGAGCAGTCACATATAGGTACTCGCTTGTTACTCGACACTCGTACGAAATAATTTCTACCTGTTCCTACCGTCTGATATTAGAATCCAATACTGAATACCAATAATATTTACGGGCGAGAATACTATAAAATGTATGTTTAACTTCATTTTATCGCCCACCTCTCCCTCCCCAAACGCGACCGGGAAACCGCTACCTATTGTCACTGTCCTACCAGGAGAACATGAGACGCGAGGAGGTATACCTCCTATCAAACCTCCTAGTGTGCCATGTTTCCCTGATAGAATAATCATAATGCCCGACTTTACTTGCTCTGCAGGGAATCCCACACACCATGCTATTTATTCGATGTGAAGTCGCTGGAGCAGTGTTTTCATATACGGTATATGATTTGTTTTACTGACGACTTAAAAATATATATAGTTTCTAATATTTTTAAAAGGTAATTGAAAGACTCCAGCTACCAGGAGGGTATGCGCTACGTAGAGATAGAGAAAAAGATTAGGCCAGTACTTGACTAGTAACAGGTATTCGAGAACAAGGTGAGATGGTGGAACAACGCAGACTGCTTACCCATAGCAGATGTTCTCAATAAGAGGTATTAGGAACAGGCACGGGGTGTTCCTGCGAAATACTGGTTTAGCTCATCTCTTACTGTATAACTCAAAACCCTGGTAGGATTATCGCTCGCCTGTCAGTTAAACATTCCTTTATGTCTCGCCGCCCGATGTCATATCACTACTCTATCCTCCTCACACTCTTCGCTCGCTCGGATGATTCAAAACATCAACACGTAGAGACTATTCACGGTAAAGCGAGCACTTTTGAAAGCCCTCTCATTTGGAATAATAGTCTATAAATATATTTTATTTTGAAATCAGATATTAACTTTCGGGTGCGGTGCAACATACACAGAGTGTTCATTACTCACATGGCAATGTTTATTTTAAAAATGTAGTTAAATGATACGAAATGGCTGAAATAAATAAGTAACTAGGGCCTCAAAAGTGCTCACTTTACCGTGAACAGCCTATAACCCTATGTACGTAAAAAAACATTCACATCTCATCAGTAGTCACTTTCCTTAATAATAACCGGAACTGTACTTGGAGCTAAACAAATCTTTAGCTGCGCCAACCAAATCGTACAGTTTGAGGCAACCAGATAAAAACAACAAAATTGTTCGGTTTCAACAACAAAATACTTATTGCCTCTATACGATTAGTTTGGTTGCGCCAAACAAAGTTTATTTTTATGCAACAAAACCTTTTTCTCGGTGTATGTCGAAAATAGTTAAAATTTACTGTTATGAACATTAAAGTTAACTCTAAAGTTTCCTGCTCACATAAATAATTTCGGTTTGCAGCAGGTTCTAGAGATGGCGTGTGGCGTTATTGTAGATGTAATAAGGTTGGTAGGTGTAAGGAAATAATAAATACTCCTTGCGAGGTAGCCAGTAGCCAATCAAGCTGACCTCCGTGGCGCAGTTGTGTACGTGACGGCTTGTTGCGCGATAGGTTTCGTGTTCGATTCCCGGCATGGGTGTTACAGCATGTTTGTTTGTATTAGTCTTCATGTATGGGAAAATGTCACAGAACACTGCAAGGAAGTTTAGCTTCGCGTCAAAAAAAATCGCGCGGGGTTATTGTGAATACAGTCAAACATTTGCAACTAAATTTGAATTAATATAACAAAATTGACATTTTTTAAATGAAGCCAATTTGTATTTTCCTTTTCACTGTCTAGTGTTTCAAAACGATACAAATACAAATAACAAACAATTTTATTTAATTTACTGTTACATGGACGCTGAGGGGCGTATCTAAGTTCGTGAGGGATGGAGTTCGTAATAAAAGTAAATAACTAAATTTGGTTTTAGTTTATTGCACAATTATTATTTACAGCATTTAATCTATCTCCACTATTAGTCTTTATTTTTCAATGAGCGTGATTTTTAATGTATAGTTTTACTCTAATTAGCATATTTCTTAATGGCTCTGTTCTGTTATAGTCAACTAACTCATACTCATCATTAACACACTTTCAGTCTGTATGTTTCCATAATTTGTAGTATATTTCGCTCACGCACCCATTTCTATAGTCCAGCCTGCCAGCCGCACCCTTCACTACTTGATACTCACGTTCGTAGATTTCCCTTTCGGTGTCACTTCCTACGCTGCTTGTCTATCGCAGAAACGCAGCCACTCGTCCATTCAACTACTCCTGCCTCGGAGGCCCGTTGCACAATTTATACTCTGCTGGCCTTGATGTGCAAGTCCTATGCACCCCGAGTCATGTTTAGAGAAACCAGGGCAGCAAACCACTAAAACATTCTTAAGATAAATACGGAAACTCAGTAAAACCAGAGTCAGCAGCGTGTGCCGCAAAAATGATTATCGTGTCGGCTCGCGTTGTATAACAGATGCGCGGCTACCGGACTTTCGCTCGCCTCTTATTCAAAATAATCCATTGACTTGTTGCTATCGTATAACTAATTTGTCCTTCACTTCCACTCACTCACGCGGGATACGAAGCAGTGAGCGCGTAACAGTACTAACCATTTCCGCTGACTGGAATTTTTTATGTTGCTCATGAGACTACGTTCGTGTTTTGTAATACTGACATGCTGCATGAATATTTTAGTTGGAATGCATGACCGTGGATGCAATGCTTCGGGTTTTCACATCCGTCTGAAGTGCAAAGCACGCGCTGAATCTTGATAATTTTTATGAGAAAAACTAAGCTTTTACTTTATGCTATAGACTGTTCACGATAAAATGAGCACTTTTTAAAGCCCTGCATAAGATCTACTTGTACATACGTTGTGTACGCCTTATATAAAATTAACATTGCTATGTGCCTCAGCACTTTATTCATCATGCAGCGGTCAAATGAAACTGTAAAATTATTAAGAAAGGAACTGCTTTACAAATCTGCTCGTTTTTACTCTTCGATGTACAAAAAAAAGTGTAAGAATTAATTCAAGTTATCGCATATGGTTACCTAACATTTTTTATTCGACGTTAAGATATGGAACTACTTTCAATCCATCGTTACCAACTATACTGGGCGAATGTCACTCAGTGCGCCCATTAAAATATATGCATGCAGGGGCAGCGATATTTTTCTAAGGCTACATACAGTATTTCATGGTTGTGTACTGCATGCATTTATTCCTCGGAAACGATTAACATTGGGGGCAATGATGATTAAGGCCTATTTAGCTTATTTTAACGTGCTACTTCATAATATGCCACATCAAATGTAAAAACGTTTGGTAACACACACTTTTATTGCAAAATAGGGGTTGCAACCCCTATTTTGTCACGGATAAACTTTTTGATGGTGTTAAACATCACGCGGATCGTAGAACTTTATCTATTTAATCGATTTCCATAGTCTTACGGTTAAATGGTACATATATTTTGTAGAAAGTGCAAATACCTGGTATTATTGCTACTACTTCAAAGGTGCTTTCCCGCCATTGGGATATACTTTAGACGGCAAGTCGTAGATACTTAATGTACCGAAAAGTAATTGGCCACCTGTCCACGATGTTTGCTCGGTGGTTGTCACCCCGTTAGAATCTCGTAGGGCCACCTCTTGTGACTATAACAGCAGCCACCCTGTCTGGCATGCTCTCTGCGAGTGTTTGCAGGACATCCACGGGGATTCGTCGCCATTCCTCTTGCGACCATTCCATGAAGTGAGCAATGAATTTTGGCCGCGCCTGACAGAGTCCTCACCCGGCGATCCAATTCGTCCCAAAGATGTCCTATAGGGTTGCGGTCGGGGCTCTGGGCGGGCCAGTCCAATAGGCGAACATTATTGTCGGCGTACCACTGCATAGTAGCCCTTGAAACATGGCACTTGGCGTTGTCATCCTGGAAGCAACACGGTTCCATTCCGTAAAAACGCCACAATGTTGGGAGCATTTCACTATCCAAAATGCTACAATAGGCCTCTGTGTTTATGCTACCACGGACAAACACCAGCGCAATTACTTTTTGGTAGATAGTGTACATTTTTGCGCTATTTTTTCGTGAGGAGTACTCATTCGAAGTTTGTCCATGTATTTAAGAAACATGCCGTATAATTGAACTATTTGTGACAAAATTTTACTCTGATAGTTAGTCCTGTGCTGTAGAGTAAGGCAAATAGCTAAACACCTTTATTAACATACTTTCACAATTTTACTTCACAAAAACTTAAATCATCATAAATTAAATAATGCGATGGCGTGGATGACGCCGAGCCGTAACACGAGATAGAATGTCTGCCATGCTGTACGCCTTTACCATGGTCTTACTTATTCTGCATTATTTCATACTAGAACGAGTGTAGGAATAGGCTGTTAGCGGTAAAATGAGCACTTTCGAAAATCAACCTTGGGAAAAATATCGCTGCTCCTACATGCATGTGTTCTATATGGAGGCACAAGCCACGCGGAAAGAAATTGTCTGCTACCGCAGCTTCCTGTATCGCTAATAACACGAATTATGACTTTGCCCATAGTAGTTCCCATGTCCTCCTTTCCACCGCTTCCGCAGACAAAAAATCGCCACTTCCTCTATACGCATCTTTCCTTTTTATTTTGCCGGCGTGGCTCTCTTCTTTTCTACTTTCACGGCTGGATTATCGCAGTGCCAGTGTTCTCGTTTTACGTCCCCGATTGTTCATAGAAAGGCCAAAGGCGAAGCAACTACCTTATATCATTATTCATATTTAATTTAGATTTATTTATTTGTTTATTGGAATTACTTAAATAATTATTTGTGCTAATCATTTCATTAGTGTATTATTATTAGCATATTTTATGTTAGTTTTCATTAAAGTAAGGAATTGAGTAAAATTGCTTATTATTTATATATTACACCATATACAGGATTTTCCTAACTTATGTTACAGACTTTGGGAGGCGATTCCTTATGGAAAAACATTACGAAAATGCCAATTGCGTATGTCTGGTAACTACGCCTAAGGGTTGAAAACACCCCCGAAAGTCTGGCTTTAAAAATAGTTTTTACTTAATAAAATGGCAGAAAAATTATATTGAGTTACATTATTTAAATATCTTAAGTAAATAATTAATTTGTTTCCACGTTATTAAATAATAATTAATATTAAAGCCCAGTTTTTTGGGGTTTTTTCCACTCTTAGACGTCGTTTCCGTACAAGTCAATCTGTATTTTCGAAACGTTTTGTCGTAAGCAGTCACCTCCCAAAGCCTGTAACATAAGTTACAAAACAACCTGTATATTATTTACATATATATTTATACTATACATATATTAATTACAGAAATAAATTATACATCGACTTATGTAGCACTACTGGCATGCGAATTTTGGTGGAAATTAGTTGAATGATTTCAGAAATATGGCGTAAATATTCCTCTTTCTCGCCAGATATTATCTTACAAAATGACCAACAAAAGAGGATTTTTGTACGCACAATTGATGATTCTAATGAGTACTGTGGGAATGCAATATTTGGTTGAATTTTGTATAATTTTAATAGATATGACATACTAATCTAAATTATTTTTATAAATACTATTAAAAGAAGACATGCCCCACCTAAAACATGAAAGTTTACATGGTCTATCGTAGCACTATTTATGTGTAAAATTTGGTGGGAATCGGTTGATTGGCCCTAGAGAAGGCATAAAACCTCAATATTTTTTCATGTGACGATCTTCATAAATTGCTGACAGAAAGGTTATATATAAATACATTGTCATAGATACTGCCAGCTTATAAAGTTCAGTTTGAATTAACTGGGATATATGGTCTACTAAACAAAAATATTTACATGGCTGTTAATTTGAAAATATGTGATAACCCCCTTAAGTCATATCAATTTAGATGGCCTACAAAAGCATACCCTGTCACATAAATTAGTTGGGAATTATATAATTGTTTCTCGACTTAGCACATAAAAGCATAATTTTGCATGTGGGTCTAGCTTCCAAAATGACGGAGAAAATAGTTTATGTAGTAGCTCGTTTGATGCTTACTAATGTGCTGCCGGTATAGAAAGTTCAGTTGTAATTGGTTTCATGGTTTCGTAGATATTGTAAACTAAACTAGAAGGTTTAATGGCCGCCATTTTAAAAATACGTGGTTGATCCATTTAAAATGTATACATTTTCTGGCCTGCCTTAGTATTACTAGTTGGCTAAATTTGGTAGGAATCACTTGTTTCTCGAGATAAGATATTAAATATTATTTTCATGATGTGCTGCCTTAAAAAATGGTACACAAAAAAATTAACATGTTTAATGGTTATTATAGGTAGGTACTGCTAGCATACAAAAATCAGTTGAAATTGATTACGTGATTTCGTAGATAAAGAATACTAAGCCAAAAGGTTTATATGGCCGCCTTTTTGAAAATAAGTGGTTAACCCACTTAAAATACATAATTATTTTGCTACCATCGTACTACTTGTTTGCAAAATTTGGTAGCCGTAAGCTAATTATTTCCCGAAAATGAAAAATTTATTTTTAATGTGGTGGCGCTACCTTACAAACTGGCACGCAA